TATATATATATATCTTTTACAAACTCTTAGTATCCGGCCCTCTATTATCTTCTCATATTGCCAAACCATCCTAAATAGAAACCTCGTAGTAAAACACCAGAAGGAAATGAATTATCAAAACTTCTTTGCAAGAAGAAAATAAATGTTTTCTATAAAAAGGAAGCATTTAAGAGAATTTTTGAAATAAGGTAGTAAGACGGTGAGGTAATAAAAGTTATCATCTAATTTTTCGATGATGTCATTCTACTCTAGTTAAAGTTAAAAATATATGTCATATAGAGACTTAAGCCATACATAACAATAGTTCCCACAAGTCTACCCCTAAATTAGTAACATAGAAACTAAAGAGAAAAAAAAAATGCAATGGATTTATCGAGTTTCATTTTCAAATCATGTGGAGCTACTTGCTTACATAGATTATAATTTTTTCACTATAAATAATATGATAATACAAATTGTTTCCTTATATCCAGGTTTTATTTAAAAAAATTTCAGTTTCTAAACCTGTGTATTCTTTCTTCGAGAAAATTATTTAGGCTCATTTTGACACTGTTTATAAAAATAAAATAAAGAAAACTTTAAATGCTATCAAGAGATGTACAATGTTAACTTGAAAGTATTCTCGAAAGCTGAACAAAATGTCAAGAAATTAATATAATGAAACTTAGAAAATGAAGGAAGGCACAGGAATGTTCGATAGTTTTTTTAATACATAGCAAGGCATTCTTCTTCGTAAATGACTCGTATAGATTTTAGAGAAGATGAACGTTGTGACTGAGGTTTTAGGATTAGAGGGATGTTCTAAATCTTCATTTTATTCATGGAGTCGTTGAGTTGTAATTGTCTTGTGCACTTGCTTTATCTATTGAGCAAATTTTGTATGAAAGCTCTATCCAGGAATTAATATATTGAGTAGATTTGTCCCAAAATTAATTTTAAACAATATAGCATAAGCATTTAGGAAATCATCTCACCAAACGTTCTTTAAACGATCAATGTAAGGCTCCACGGTTTGATGCTTCAGACTATAGTTTTCACCATCTTGCTCTTCAGGCGTCATCAATCTAGTTTTGTACACTTGACAATTTTGTTAATTCTCTTAACAATAATTTCATTCAAATATAAAAGTTACATTATTGTCATTTTTTTTTAACTTATGAACATTTAACATTCTTAATTTTAACAATTTTCTCTTTTTTTTTTTTCTTTTTATGATGATAAACCTTAATGATTTGATGAGATAGTAGACACTTTTCTCAAAACATATATGTTGTATTTGAAGCTTGAGGGATACCACAGTACATGTATGTACTTAGATATACACACAAGCAAGCATGGTTGTCAAACTTGCGAGTTAACTCGTAGAATCGTACGAGTTTACGAGTCTAGCGTAGAAAAACTAGTTAACTCGCTTCTGGAATCATTTTCTGGTAGACTCGCTCAAATTCGGCTAGACTCGGGCAGAATCGCTCAAAATCGCGAGTCTATGAACGAGTCTACGAGTCAACTTCAGGTTAATTTTTTGCCACCTAAATGTCCAAAATGATGTCGTTTCAGAGAGGGTTTCTAGTCTCCTCTCTATTTTCTTCGATCTCTCACTTTTTGCATAGGAAACCACACTCTCCCTCCGTCCGCATTCTTCGATCTGCCTCTATTCAAGCTCCCACGACATCTTCTAGCTTCATTCAGTCTGTCCGATGCCGTCCTTGCAGCTTCTAGCGTCGTCCCTATAGTTTTCGACGAGCTGTTCATCCACATGTTTTCCTACTCGTCCAGCACTGTTCATTCACCTTTGCCAGGTCAAGAAAACTCTCGCTGGAAAGGTGCTTCATTTCCTCTATTTTTACTCCTTCAACCATGTTATTGCTATTTGTGTTTATGCTATTTTATTCGAACTTTTTGCATCCCTTCTATTCCGATTTATAGGTGTTGCTGAATGTGTTGTTATAACATCTTTTAATATTAGGTAGACTCTTACGAGTCTACAAGTCGAATCTACAGGAGCTCCATGAGTTTGCGTAGGTTCTCAAGTTTGACAAACTTGCACATAAGTACTTAGATAATTATTAGAGTCAAAGGGATTAGACCAAATAACTAAAAGATATCCATAAGATGTAGAAATATTCATCGAGATTGTTGCATCAAAAGACTATACAATTGGTATAACATTACAAATAAATAAGAAAGCATCTAAAATTTTGCTAAAAAAAAAAAACTATGAGAATCTTTGATGTCCTCCATGTTGTGGTCAATTTGCCTTGAAGGACCGTTCCAAATTCAAGATTTTATCTTTCAATTGAACATGTGTGTAGGATCTTAAAATTTTTCTGGATGACTAAACCTTCGCCGAAGAGACACGTTTGACGAGGAACAAAAAATTGAATAGACATGTTAGATATTATGCGTGTGTTTGTTTTTACATTGGATGAAACTGAACGTTAATCTATCCTTTTTGTTACTTCTACATTTCTACTTTAAAAAGTGTAAAAATCTGTTGAATGATATTCAAAAGGTAAAACAAACACTTTGTATGTCTAGTCTATAAAAAACAATTCGATGCTATTTAAAGAAATCTTTAGTGAAAACTTTTTCTAGGAGATACAGTTGGTTTGAAAATCATTTTGAATAAAAATACATTGAGAAAATATGAACCAAAAGAAAATTTTTTTTTAGTATAAACCGAAAAGAAAATAGTTGAAAAGAAATAATTGAAAGCGAGTTTAAAAAGATCAATAGAAAACTTTTGAAAGAGGAAGCAGGAGTAAGAACTATAACTTGGTGAAGATGCAGAATTGCAGAGGATGAGAGATTGAGAGTCCACCTTCTCTGGATTCTACATGTTCTAGATGACATCGTTCTCTTTTTCAGACAACTCAAATGATCTGCATTCTACTTAATTAATCGACTTATAAATCCATTTAATCTTTATTTGACTATTCTTTATATTCTTTTAAGAATATCACCTGTTACATGTCATTCAGGTAGACTCGACAAGTTTTGGATTATGTTAATTTTATTTTTTCTGGTAAATAGATTATGTTACTTAAAATTAGATATAGAGGCATGCAAACAACGGAATTTTATAAGATAAATAAAAAGGTATATTCATTAAGAAGGCTTGTGGAAAATATTCACAATTTGTCTGTATTAATAGACCAGCTTTCCAAATTAAACGAAAATAGAAAAGTAAAAGCTTTGGATTTAGAATTTACAAGTCAGCAACTCTATGAACAGATAACATGTTTATTTACTAAAGTATAAATATTAAGTGATAAAAAAAAAAATTGACCACTTTCAGGTGAAAAATGAATGTCCACCACCACCGTAACATAATCAACACTTGTTTCAGCAACATTGCCACCAACAACCACTAAACAATCAATAATATCTATAACATTAAATAAAAGAGATACTCAACTCCTCAGGTGCTTTATAATCTCTATCATTTTAAGATTTTTTTACCTTAAATTTTCACACAAATTTAAAAAATATTATTATTTTCATTCTACCTTCTTGGTATCCTTTCTCTCATTTGTACACACTTTTTATTGAACAGTTATTTCTATTACATGATTACCCACTACTCATAATTATATCTATTTAGGTGCGAAGTGTGTCAAACTCAATAGTTTAAAATGAATAGATAGATCTATGGGTTGAATCTAATCATAATTCAAACCATCAGATTGGATTATATGACAATATCACCTCAACCAACAAAAGCAGCCCCATATCGCAACTCCTTGTTTGCTGCACTACAACGCTGTTATCACTTTCCATACCACAATCATAGATGACATGCCAACAGCAATCACTACAATTCTATCATCAGTACCATCGTCATAATCATAATACCAATGGACCTATACCAGAACTATTTCAACAAGTTTATTGCTAAGATCTCATGCCAAAAACAACAGACTGGATCTAACCATAATTGAAATCATCAGATTAAATTATCCTCAATTGAGACTTTCAGTGATAGAGACATACTAAACTGATAAAAGAAAAAGACTAAATATTATATCCATGATCAACAACAGCAACTCAGTCATAAATAGCAGGCCCTACTGTTTTTTCAAGTGCATGCAACAGATACACAATTAGTAAAGACAGAAACTTTCCATCAACAGCTAATGTTCATTAGTAATCTACTCCTTGGAAGACTTGTTGATAAGAGACTTGTGAATGTGAGGAATCACTCCTCCTCCAGCAATTGTTCCTTTTATCAGGGTATCAAGCTCTTCGTCTCCACGGATTGCTAGCTGTAAATGCCTTGGAGTAATACGTTTGACCTTAAGATCCTTGCTAGCATTCCCTGCCAGCTCCAATACTTCAGCAGTGAGATACTCCAAGATAGCAGCAGAGTACACAGCGGCTGTAGCACCAACTCTACCATTAGCCGTTGTCCTCGACTTCAATAACCGGTGGATACGGCCAACTGGGAACTGCAAATTACATTATAGAAGAAGCCTGGGTAAGAGAAGATCATGTTGGTCTGCTAGTCCCTTGCTTTAGGTATCAAACTATCAATAGTTAATGCAAACTCCATTCTAGCATATTGAGCAGAATTAAAATAAAATTTTTGAGCCAAAACAAAATGGTTTGGAGGAGTTAAAACTAATTTCATTGAAACAGATTAAAAAGGTTATTTGATTTTGAAAACTTTGGAGGCATGGCTCCTAGTTATATGTTGTTTAGCTTCTTCCCAATACAGTATAAATATCTTCAATAACATTATCATTAATTCATTATCAATAGTGACTAGTCACAGTATCTAGCTCCAATCTACTAGCTAGCAAGAAGGGTCTGACTTCAATTTCTAAACCCAAAGGATCACCTAAAACAATGTACATAATCACATAAGGCAAAAGAAACAAAATACATAGTCAGGTAAATCTCTCATCAACATCAAGCTAAACAATATGCTAATTATTGCATAGCAGAATCATACCTGCGATGTTCTAAGAACTTACAAAACAACAATTATTTGAAAAGTAAAATAAACAACAGACCAAACTCTTGTAAGCAAATTACCTGACTCTGGATAGTGGATAATCAATGTTGATACCTACGACTAAACATTAACAGTATAAACTTCCTTGTCTAGGTGGGCTTGAGTTAACGTGCTAACAAGTTACAACTTACAACAGATGTAAATGCAGTTCAAATAATTTCAAAACATTAATCCAAAAGAACACACATGCAGACATATTATAAGCAAAATAATGTCACATAATCACAATTTTTTTACATGCTTTCTCAGTCAAAGTTTACAAAGACTAAAGACTGACAAAGTCAAAATAACAGGAACAAGAGGTCCATTCAAGATTTAACAGCACCACCATATTTTTTTGATTGTTTAAAATATGTTCCATTTTATCTGCTATTTCAAATCACACTTCAAGGAGAAATGAAGAATAATAAATTATAACATCTTTATTCCCGTGGCACGATATCGGGGGGTAGTATAGTATGTGGCAAAACCCTGTTTTGAACCCACTAACTCAGTTTGCTCCTTTAACCCTTCCAGATGATTTAAACAAATAAGCAAATAAAAGGGTTTACGAAAATAATACCAAAATTTGATTTTTATCCCTCTATGACGCAACAAATCACACAGAGACCCCAAAAAGTGGCTCACATTGTGGATACATAAAAACGAGGGTTAAAAAACAATTTTTTTTTACAGAATGAGTGTGGGGGGGTTTTGAGGGCATAGAAAAGGGTAAAGGAAAGAGAGAGAGAGGGAGATCTGAGAACCTGAAGGCCGGCACGAGAAGAACGTGAAATGGGTTTCTTTTTGTCCTTGTCTTTGTTGGTGGCAGAGGTTTTGCCTGTGATCAACCCCTTCGCCCCTTTTCCCGACATCTTTAACCGCCAAAACAGTGCGATGTGTTGCGCTGAGAGGAAGAGAAGGTCTCGAAACTCTTGGGGAAGGTAATCTAATCGACACAAGAAAGGGATTTGAGGTTGTTTCTTGCTCCTCCCTCGTACGCCTCTTTATTTATTTACGTACATGTTGCCTTACCCTCCAACTTTATGTAAATTACCCTTTCAGCCCTCTTCTAAAGGTATTTATGAGATAAAACCTATTATTATTATTATTATTATTATATAAAACATTATATTATGAAAAATAGATTTTGTTATGTACACAGAGTCACTGATGTAACGTGATATTAACACATTCTTTTCTATTAAATTAGCTAATTAATTGATTAAATTTAACATAACTTTTAATTTCATATAATATGGTAAACAATCTATTAAATTTTATGGGATAAATTTTATAATTATGGTAATTAATTGTGAGATGATTAAAATAATGCATAAAAGAATTGATTGATGAATAGTAATATATCTAAAATTTAAATTTTGAAATACTATAAGAAAAATAACTTGTGGCTATGAACACTTTTACCTATTAACATGAGTTAGTGTGGGTAAAACATAAAAATAATTTTACCCACAAATGCTTAATGCGAGTATAACTTAAAGACTTGTACTTACTGTTGTTGTTTGGGGTAAACAAAGTTGATAAAAACGCAAGAAGTCTTCTACCAACAAATGTTAAGCTTTGGTAAAACTTTAAAAGACTTCTACTTACTACCATTTAGTGTAGCTAGAACCCCCAAAATCTTCTACCTAAAGCTAGATGTGTAGGTAAAACTTGACAAGACTTCTACCTATAATTGTTTAATATAAATAAAATCTTTTTAAAATAAATAGTTTATAATAAACACTCATCTCCAATATTTAAAAATAAATTATTTATTCAATTAAATTAAAACAAATAAAAATAATCAAATAAAACAACACTTATTTGGTGCACACAAATTAAATCTAAATGTTCATTGCCACAATTCACTATTGGAAAAATATTGTTTAATGTTGTGCTTTTTAAGTGTATTGTTGTACAACCATCATCATATAAAACTAGTGACATACTTACAATTATTGTCAACTTTTTTATGTTGGTTGTTTAATGACCGACATAGAATACAAATTCTAAGTCGATTTTTTTAAGAACCGAAGTAGAAGATGAATTATAAGTTGGTTGTTTTACAAACTAATGTAAAGCCTCAATTATTTGGGATTTAGAGGCAAGGCTCCAAATTTCTTCGTCATTGCACCCTTCGATTTCTTCTTCCTTTTTATAGTTCCTCACTATTAAGACCACCCTACTCTACAATTGCTCTCTTTGTTAGATACTTTGTTGTTGTCATTGTCTTTGTCATTGTTATTCTTTTTATTTTCCATATTTGTTGTGGTTCTTGTTTTTATTTTTCAATTTCAGATATGGTTCGCATTTTCTAGATCTGTTTGTGAGGAAAGAGGAGGATGTGAGGCATGGATGGCGAAGAGGAGGACACAAGTCGTGGACCTGGTGAAGGAGACAAAGAAAAGTGGTGCAAGTTGGAGGGAGCAGAGGAGGACATAAGTAGTAACACCCCAAGTTTTCTAAAAATAATAAAGGATTTTTAATTAATAAAATATGTATTATAAACAATATGGTGGCTTTTATAATAATTAGGTGTATTTTTTATTTAATAAGTCAATGTGGTTGTAGCAGTCGCAATAGTGGTGGAGTGGAGCAAAGCAACTCAATGTCACTATAGAAACCTTGGAGCGGAGTAGTTTTGTGTAACAAATAAACCGGGTGAGATCATGGTCTAATGTGGCGGTTTAAAAAATATTCAAAAAAATAACTCATTAAATGAAGGCACTTTCGTTTTTTCAATTGAATTTCTCCTTCTTTATTGAGTGGTGCACTTTGCCTTAAGCCCATAACATAACTCCCTTCTCGTTTTCTTTCTCGAACAATTTGCTTCTTCTCTTGTGATTTTCATCTTCTCTAATGATTCTTTGGCATTTCTTCGATGACTATGATAGTTGTCTTTTCTCTTCTTTAAAAAGTAAGTTTTTTTCCTTTATTCTCTTTTTTTCTTCTTTTTTCTTTCTTTTTTCTTTATGTTCCCTTCTTTTTTTTTTTTGTCCATTCTCTTTCTTTTTTTGTTGTTCACTTTTTATTTAGACATCTTTGTTATTTGGTGATCGGCAAAACCACAGCCCAACCAAAGATAGATCAACCAAAAAATCAAAGCTAAGGGGCTGGTGTTGCTAGAACTGGTCCTAGTCCCACACCATCAATGGGTTCTTAATTACATGTGTGAGTGTGATTGTAAATCTTCTAACATTAAAGATTTGTGAAAAATCCCAATCGGTTTGATTAGGGACTAAATGTAGGTTACAAGTGGATGTGATTGAACCATTATAAAATTTTGTGCATTTTTCTCTATCTCTACACTTATCTTTACATTCTTGCAATTTTTATTATATGTTTAATGATGTGATATGTTTCATAAACATTGCATATAAAAATTAGAATTTGAGTTTGCTTTAACAAGTGGTCTTAACACAACATCTTACATATTCTTAATCAATATAATTCGTTGGAAAACTTTAGAAAAGTTTTTGTCCAAGATAATTTAGAAAGAATTTTTGTAAAGTCCAATTCACCCTCTCTTGGATCAACCATCTTTTCTAACACCGAGTTGTTATATTCTTGACAATAGTATTGAACTTTTTTATTTTAAGTGGTGAAATTCAAGAAATCATTTTCTTCATTCATAAAGGCTATAAGCCAAACTTATGTTGTATGACTTATAGAAGAAAGGTTTTTTTTTGTGTGTTGTTGATTCACTAGGTTATGCCACTTAAACTACTCACCTATGTTGTTAGAGATCTCCTAAGTTAAAATGCATGATGACACATATAAATGTTATGTTATTTACTATGATGCTAAGTTGTTTATTGTGAAGATGAGATATATAAATGTGTTGCTAAGTTGTTTAATTTTATTGTGTGTTTATACATATATATGTGTGTGTGTATGTATGTATGTATGTAAGTATGCATGAAGTTTTCAAATTGTAAAGTTGTGTTCTTAGTAGTGTATCTAAGTTGATGAGATGTATTTCTAATGTTTGTTTGAGTAGACATTAGTTTCAGTGTTGAAAGTTGATTGTTGTAATATAGATAGTAGTTGCTTTTTATTTTATATATGTTGCTTTCTTATTATACATTTTTACCCTTACTTTCAATCTGCTGGACTACTTTGATCATGCTTGGTGTGAAGCAAGTTAGGATTAGGTGGAGGGAAAAATAATGGATGATGGCGTCTTATGGTGAAGCTATTGTTATACATCTTGTTTATAAAATGCTTGACTGACACCTAGGGCTTGTTTTCAATTTCTTTTGTTGTAGATGTTTATTACTTGTATATACATATTCGAGATGATTGTAATTGTTGGTCCTTGTTTACTAGAATCTAGAAGGGGGTTGAATAGATTCCATCCTAAGATGACTCTATTTTTGTATTTTCTTGATCTTTAACAATTGAATTCACTTCTTGAATTTGTTCATTCAATAACACATATTCAATCTTTGCACTTTTTAATATTTCAGAAAATGTTTATTTGATTAGCCTTTGATTCTTGTTTCTGAAAGTATTCTTTTTCTCTAATGTTGTTTTTCAAAAATATTCTCTTTTAATTTCATAAAAGATAGGTATTTAAAGTGCAAAACGTAATTCAATTATAAAGAGTCATAACGCAAGTAATCTGTTACCTAATATGGTAATTGATTACCAATTCATCTAAAAACTAAATTTTGAACATAGAGAGTCAGGGTAATTGATTACAAGACTTGGTAATTAATTATTCTGAACTTTTCAAAACCCAAATTTGTATTTCATTGTGGTAATTGATTATCTCATATGGTAATCGATTATCCTGATGGAAATCTTGATTATTCAGCCTTGTTTCAAGCAAGAGACGTTGTTTTAATCTACTACCAGCTTTGGTAATCTATTAACAATCTATTAACATAAAGGACATTTGAATATCCTTTTCAAGTAACAGACTTGGTAATCTATTACCCTGAATGGTAATTGATTAACAATATTACCTTAAAAACTCTTATTTGAATTAAGTCATATTTCTATGTCTAAACACTTGGTAGTAAATTACCTTTTCATGATAATCTATACATTATGTTTATACATGGAAATACTAAGTAATCAAGTTCTTGGTTTCTTAAAAGCTTGATTATTTCTTGAATTAAACATTCATCATCATCATCAATTATAAACAAACACACACACATGCCTATATCTATTATAATCAATAAATTATCCTTTTTCATAGGCTTAAGCAACATCTATACAATACATCATCAAAAATAAAACATTCTTCAGAAGTCTTCAAGATGTCCCATTATCTCAACAGTAATCCCTTAAGAGACTTTATGTTTTCAATCTATGGGAAAGTTATGTTTTATGTTTTCTTGCATTGAAATATATATACAAATGCTGCATGAATATCTAGGAACTGTGTGCATGATAACCTTTGGTTAATTGATGTTATATTTTCTGCTACGATGTCTCCATGTTGATGTGTTGTAAATGTGGTGACCTATTAAATCAATACACTTTTATTGTAATAAAGTCGATCAAGTTTTTTGAGCACTCTATGTGGGTGATCCAATTATATTTTTGTTGTGTAGATGATAAGTGTTGTTGTCTTTAAGGTTATTGTTGAGTGTTACCTTTCGAGTTCTATTAATCTCAATATAGGATGATAGGTATACCTTCAAGATATCCTCTCCCTACTTCCTTTATGGTAACCAGATGACTATGAAGAATGGACAAATTATTGTTTTGGCTCATACCAACAAGGTTGTAGTTGAGGCAACTAGACAAGTAATTCCTCAAGGGTACAGGGGATTTGTTAATTTCATAAAGAGAAACCCTTTTTAGTGAAGTTAGATGAAAACACATAGAATGGGGGGTTGAATATGTGTGTGTGAGTACGAAGGAATTTTATAATTTTTTCGCAAGAGTAATGTTCTTATTCCATTGCACTTTCAAATATCAGACGGTTATGCAGAATTTGCTTAACACAAGGTCACCGCGTCTGAACAATTTATCGAATACTGAAGTAAAATGTTTCATATAACAATAATGATTAAGGTTCTTGCATTTTCCTTT